CGGAGCTCTAAATCGAAAAAACTTTTTTTCTTAAAAAAACAAATTTTTTTTTTTTTTTTTGTGGTAATTTTGAGACTTTTTTTACTGGTAAAATTGGATCTTTATTCTGCTAATATTTTGATTATAATCTTGTAGCTTGGCTCTAATACTCCACTGTAGTGGTTGGAATAAAGTCCATTTTTTAAAAATATTTTCTTTTTTAGAAAAAAGCTAGGAATTTTCTTTATATATATATATATATATATATATATATATATATATATATATATATATATATATATATATAAAATTGGATCTTGTATTGAAAATATTTTTTTTGTAATTTTGTATTCAGAAACAAAAGCTAGCAAAAAAAAAAAAGATAAAAATCAGATCTTGGATGAAAGAATGAGCTTTTATTTTGAAGCCATTTCATACAGCCCTACAAATCTGCATAAAATATGATCTGTTGAAAATGAATACTTTATAAATATACTGTTCAAAAAAATAAAGGGAACATTTCACTTTAATTTTGTGTGTGGCTCCAAATCCAGGCCTCCATTGGTTAATAAATTTGATTTCCATTGATGATTTTTGTGTGATTTTGTTGTCAGCACATTCAACTTTGTACAGAACAAAGTATTCAATGAGAATATTTCATTCATTCAGATCTAGGATGTGTTATTTGAGTGTTCCCTTTATTTTTTTGAGCAGTGTAGTTTCTGATGTAGAATAAATGAAGTCTTTTTTTTAGTTTGAATGCAAATGAAACGTGTGTTTTGCTGCAGCTGTCTGTTTGCAAAGAGCTGCAGCTGCCCAGCAGTGAGTTCACCTACACGGCCGACCTGGTAGCTCTGACGTCGGCCGCTCCTCTCAGGACGGCCAGCGTTCAGTCCATCTCCGTCCTCACCGTGGCTGCAGAAGGAACGGCTCGCTTCTGGCCGAGTCTGGCACACGAGGGGACCTACACAGAGTCGGACGTGAACCTGGGAGATCTCTGCAACTTCGTTGTTGCACTCAGAGTTAGTAAAAATCTCAAAGAGTTTGACATTTTTGTATTTATCTTGACAGAGATCTTGTTTTTAACCCTTGTGATGGTTTCTATCCTCCTGCTGCTGTTTTAATTTTTTCCTCTTTTCTCTCTCTAAGGGTGGAAGCTTCGTTTTATCATCTGTGAAGAATCAGCTGCTGAGAGCGAGTGCGGACTCTTCAGGGAAGCTGCAGTACCGAGCCCTGCAGCAGGGTCAGGGGGTTCTGTCCGGGATCGGGCGCCGTGTGTCCAGTCTGTTCGGCATCCTGTCCCCTCCAGCTACCGACGAGGTGAGTTATATTCTTCTAACAGTTGGCAATTCCACCTCTATGGAGAACAACAAGATATTTTACACCCCAAAGAAAAAAGCATTAGATGAGCTGGATTCTTTATGTTTTAGACATTTTTGATGTTTTGATGTTCCAGTTTATTCTAAACTTTTTATTATAGTGTTATTTATTTTCTTTTTTATTTAAATAATGTGTACAAACCTCAACATATAAAAGAAAGGTAGCAAGATAAATTAGTAGGATGAATGACGACGTAGGCCTGTCGCAATAAGTAACAAATCAATTAAATTAAAACAAACTCAATCATTTCTATTTGCATGATTTATTGTTTTTCTCTTTCTACCACAACCTGGATGATAAAAATCTTCAATCTGGTGTTTTGGTCTCAACTAGACATTTTATTGAAGAATTCATTTTATTTTTTGTTTCTGTTGTTTTATTTATTTTTGATATTTAAAATGTCTTCTAGTTCCTGTATTAAATGTTTGTTGGTCCTTGAGGAAATCTTATTATGCCATTAACATTATATCACTTGAAAATGATCTCATAACTACAATATTATCGTTTATCACAATAACGTCTGGGAAAATTTATTGTCCAGCAAAATTTGTTATAGTGACAGACACACACACACACACACACACACACACACAAACACACACACACACACACACACACACACACACAAACACAATGATATAAAAAAAAAGTATCTAACTAG